TCGGAATAGATCAACATCGTTTGAGATTTAGGCAACATCTTGAAAATGAGATGGCCCACTATGCACAAGATTGCTGGGATGCTGAAATTGAGAGTTCTTATGGTTGGGTAGAATGTGTTGGTATTGCTGATCGATCTGCATATGATTTGCGAGCTCATTCTGTAAGATTCTTCAGTCATTACTAGGTGCCCTCTTGTAGCATCATAATTGGAACCTAATTTTTATGGTAGCTCTTTAAAGGATTGTTTGGATTCTTAAAACTTTTCCCTCTGCTTATTGATATTCATGCATGTATAAAAATTAAATTTATATTATCCCTTTAAATCACCAATCTTAGAAATGCATGATGCTAGTTCTCGTTTTCTTACACATTATCTGATTTGCTATGTTCAATGTACATCTTTGTGAAGAATGAGTAGTATAATCTTACACTTGAGGAAAAGAAATAAAAAAAGATTACTCTTAGCTTTGCATGGTGTGATATAAAAGGATTTCTATCAACCTAATCATCCTTACCCATAACTGTTGTCTGTCAGGAAAAAAGTGGCACCCTTCTTGTTGCTCAGGAAAAATATTTAAAACCTAAAGAAGTGGAGGTAACAATTATTTACATCTAATTAGTCGTTTTTATTGAAATCATATTGCTAGACTACTAATCTCTTAGCAATGCTATGCAATACTAGAAACTCGTTATAACTCCAGTGAAGAAAGAGCTAGGTCTAGCATTCAAAGGGAACCAGAAGATGGTTGCCGAAGCTTTGGAGGTACTCTTTATTTTGATTCCATTAAAAAATCACCCTTTCTAAGATGGCCTATTGTTCTTTAAAACATCTTTTTCCTTTCATCTAGGCTAAGTGATATTATACGAATAGATGGTGATTGAAATGTTATATGATCACATATTATGTCAAATAAATTCTCCCTCCATCCCAAAAAGACTTCTCTTTCCTTTTATGAAAAACCTTGAGTGGCTTACAATCATTCTCTCTTTTGCATCACTTTCAACTTTGTGCCAAGTCAAACTGTGAGCTTTTTTTTGGGACGGAGGGAGTATTGAAGATGTTGACTGGTCTTACCATTACCACAATCTTAACGCCGTGATTTCTTCAAGAAGTGTTCCTCAATCAAAGTCATCATAGGAAAGTGTACTAGAGAGATTGCTTGAATGTTTTATTTTGCTCCTGTTATATCAGGCAATGAATGAAGATGCTGCTATGGAGATGAAGGCTGATCTGGAATCAAAAGGAGAGGTGGAGTTTCAGATCTGCACTCTAGGGAGAAGCGTGACGATTAAGAAGAATATGGTGTCTATATCTAAAGAAAAGAAGAAAGAGCACCAAAGAGTATTCACACCTTCTGTCATCGAGCCCTCTTTTGGAATTGGGAGGATCATATATTGTCTTTTTGAGCACTCGTTCTATACTAGGCCTAGTAAAACAGGAGATGAACATCTTAATGTATTCCGGTTCCCACCCCTGGTTGCACCCATCAAGTGTACTGTTTTCCCATTGGTTCAGAATGAAGAGTATGAACAAGTTGCAAAATCTATCTCCAGATCCCTGACTGCTTCTGGTATTTCGCATAAGATTGACACGACAGGTGCGCTTCGGTTTCTAGCCGTTCTATTGAATTTCAATGGATGGTTTTGTATTTCTGTTTTGTGATATGATGGAATTAACCACTTGCATGGATGCTTCTCAGTCATTGTAATGAGGGTTAATTACATTTACCAACATCATGGTTTTATTACATTATCAAATGGCCCTCAAGTTTTTTTTTTTTTGTGAAAATTATAGATATTATATCTTGACTAGCACCATTTAGATTTCTGCACCAGTTATAAATATAATCTCCCATTTGTATTTCACAAATACTAAATTATAGTAATTATGCTCTCTTGCAATCATAGGCACCTCGATCGGGAAAAGGTATGCGAGAACAGATGAACTAGGTGTGCCATTTGCCATCACGGTCGATTCATCATCTTCGGTAACAGTGAGAGAAAGAGATAGCAAGGATCAGATTCGCGTTAGCGTGGACAAGGTGGCATCTGTTGTGAAGGAGGTGAGCGATGGGCAGAAACTGTGGGCTGACATCATGCAGATCTATCCGGTTCATTCTTCGGGCTCTGCTGAGTGAGCGAGCGATCCTGCTTCCCCTATATAAGGCAGGTTAACATGATTTTGGTCTCCTCTCTTTCACTAGAATTGTTCAACTTTTCTGTAACTTCCTCAGAATCTCATTTGTGAAGTGATTTTGGGAGTATCTAAAATATGTACTTGTGACTTGAGTGGTTATGTTGCTTCTTGTTGTCATTCTTGTGTTTGTAAGTCAATGGGGAGAGATGTTAAGTCAATGGGATTAGGATCATAGCTTTAACTGTATCCTTCTCACTGAATTCTCATCTCTTGTGTTGACAGTTGAAATTCAAAGCATTTATTTTTCGTTGAAATTAACTAAGGCATTGTTTGGTATAGGGAATTCAAACTATGGAATTGGAATTGAAGACTTCAATTCCAATTTTGGTGTTTGGTAGTACAAAAATTATGTGAATTTAGAATTGGTAGTGCAAAACATGAATTGGAATTGATGAATTTGAATTCTATGAAATTGAATCCCATGGAATTTCAATTCCATTTACCAAATGTACCCTAAATGTGTGTTTTAAGCCTTCAAGAAATATAGTGACCCACCTCCCCACTGTTACAGCCTATAGGTTTTAATTGTAATTAATACGGAGTATGAAATTTTCCTTCATATCTTCGATCGTGGACTTTTTATACTTCCTTCGTCCCTAAATAGATTACAATTTTTTTTTTTCTCCTCTCGATAACTTTTGTTTGTATATGCCATTTAATTAAGTATTTGATAAAATAAAATATTCTTGTCATCTCTTGTTTTGTAAAACTTTTGATGTAGTTTTTTAATATGTAATTTTTATATCTTATTGATATACCAATTTGTAAATAAAATGATTTCAAAAAGTAGGAAATTTTACTCCGTAACCCACAATTTGTTATCAAATTGGGGACGGAGGGAGTATATTTTATTTTTAAATTAGAAACACAGCATATGGATTGTATGGAAACTTCATTCATTTCATAAAATATATTGGTTTAATTGATATAGAAGTAAAAACTAATACTCACTTGTCCCTAGAATTACTTTTTTACTATTATGGTCTTGCAATAACTTTTATATTTGTTTGCATATTTTTTCATTGATCATTTGATAAAATAAAGTATTTTTGTTGCTTGTTGTTTCGTAAAGTTTTTTTATATGAGTATTTGTTTTTAAATGTAAATTTTTATTTTTTATTTATTTACCTACTTGTAAATAAATTTATTTTAAAAATATAGATTTTGCACTTTGATCAAAGAAGTTACATTCTTTTAGGGATGGAGAGAGTAGTATTTATATAGGTTAGGGACCCTCAGGTGGATCAAAAAGTCAAAATTGAACAAATAATCAGAAACTGGATAATATTGTTTCTTTTTCTTTGGAACGTAATGTTTATTTACTCGTATTTTTTAGAAGGCAATGCTGGGGACCCTCAAGTTTGCTTGTAATGGTATAAGAAGACTGTAAGATAAAGCACACAAATACCTGATTTTCATCCTCGAATAAATGTTACGTGAGACTTTGCAAGGTCAATTACAATTATTTGAAAGTATCTCTCAAGCTTTCATCCATCATAGAAAAGGTGGACATTCTCAATTTATTGTCTAGATTTTTAAGTTGAAAACCATGCTCATGGTAGTTGTTAGAGTTTAAGCCTTAATTACGAGGACTAAATTCGGGGAAACTGGCTTTTCCTTGTCCCTCTAGCAAGCTGTAGTCCCTTTCTTCTTCTGGCTTCCCCCAAAATTTATAAGGGATTTTAGCGGGAATGTGTTGGCGGGAAATCTTAACACAGGTCTGCAGTGAAGAAGATCACTGTGCAGTGGTTGCCCGGCGGTTGGCGCGCATGCATCAGAGGCCCGCCTCCGCATTAAATGAGTGTACGGTCGTCATGATTGGTGGTTGGGCATTGAGTTGATGGCCCGACCCCGAGCATGCCCCGTTCGGGATCCATTGGGTTGAATGAACAATCATTTATTTTTCCAAATCTCCCCCCCGATTGTCCCTCGGGCGTGGGCATGCCCGACCCCGAGGACATGTCGCCATGTCAATGTCGGGCTGGTGCATGCGGGAGGCGTGCATGGTGATTGGTGAGGTCCCCATGGGTGGTCGTCCGGGGGGACGCCCATCTATGGTGGGCCCCTTGTCATAATCCGGCTGGACCTTTATCCCAACATTAGTCATAAATTCTTTTGGTAAATTAGTGAACCGGGCAGTGAGCTTCAAAGCATCTTGCATCAAGTATACCTCTAAACTTACTTTTTAAAAAAAAGGGCTTTGAATTGCATACATAATTTTTTGTGCGTGAAATTTTACCCCATGGTTGTACCTGTAAAAAAAACATGTATACCAGATTGTGTAAATGTTTTGTCAATTTGAAAAAATTGGCATGAGAGAACGTGATAGTACACCTAGAAGTTTGAAGCCTTTTTTTTTCAAATTAACGTTCTCTCAACAAGTCTTTTATGCTTGAAATATCACCAAAAAAGGTGAGGGTACCCAATTATAAGTTCGAAACCAAAACTTAGAAAAGAAGATTACCACATTTGGTAGAGCAATGGATGCACAAAAAGCAGATGGGTGTACTTGTACGTGCCTCTCATTGCAAGAAAGGAATGAATAAGCACCTTCTCCTACAAAAATATTTAATTAATTGTTAGAACTAGAAAACTTTATCCACGAGCTGAGGAGGCACTACAAATTCCTTAAATAAAGATTGTAAGCTGAAGCGAGCCAGCCAAAACATAATTTTGACATCTATCACACGTTAGGAATCACTTCACATGCTCACCTTCCTCCATCCATCGGCTTCAATTTCACACACACATACACACACTGTACATATATAAATTTCGAATGTATATATGTGTGTGTTTGTGAGTGTGAATCCATCAATGGAATAGTGTAGATATATATGTATTTATAGACATACATACGCATGGACGGGGGGACGAAGAGCAGCGGGTGGAGAGATTGGGTGATCAAGGTGAACGAGGAATCTATCAGACGACCCAAAGATGACGATGACAACGCCGCCGCCATTGTTAAGATTGATGGGGCGGCGGGTGGCGGGATGACGATGGAGGAGGATGAGCAGCAGCAGGAAGAGCGGTGGAAGAAGCGGTGCATATACAGAGTCCCAGCGGCGTTTGCAGAGGTGAACAAGAAGGCGTACACGCCGCTAGTCGTGTCTTTGGGTCCTTACCACCACGGGGAGGATCACCTAAAGGTGATGGAAGGGCACAAGCACCGCGCATTGGTTCACTTCCTCAGGAGGTCCGGGAAGCCGCTGGAGCGCTACCTCCACGCTCTCAACCCCCTCGCCCAGGACCTCAAGGACGCCTACGACTCTCTCCCGGCCGGCGGCCACCACCAAGACGACGGCGGCAGTTTCCTGCAGGTCATGATCGTGGACGGGTGTTTCCTGCTGGAGATATTGCGCACGGCGGCGATCTCGGCATACTACGGCCTGGGGAAGGACGACTACGCCCCTTGGGATCCTGTTTTCAGCGACCACGGGAGGCTGTACCTCATCCCCCATCTCAAGCGGGACATGCTTCTCCTCCAAAACCAGCTCCCCATGCTCCTCCTCTACACCCTCCACGCCGTCGCTACAAACCAAGTAAGTTTTTTTCAATTCATTTTATTTAAGTTTTTTCGATATCAAGCTCCCCAATGCGTTATATTGGTGATGCATGCATTTGTAGTAGCAAGATGTATGTATGTATAAATATTCAAATGGGACTTTGTATCATTGTGGCATTCATTCAAACAAGGGAAAACTTGGTTAAATCCGATTTCATAGTTTGAATTCGGTGTAACAAACGCAGCGTAAGTATAATTCTATGGATTTAACATCCCTAAGATTCTATGAATGAAATAATACTGTAAAAAATAAAGATCACAAATATTAATCTTAAAATTATATTTCTAACATAGATATGTAGCGTCTTCGGTATCCCGTTTGTAAAGTGACGATTCCTATCCCCTAAACCTCTCCTAAACCCGCACCCTAGCCCTCTCCCGCCCTCTGGTTATACTTTCAGGATAGGGAGGAGGACAAGAAGTGAGGTTAGGGTAGAGGTTTAGGGGTAGAAACCAAATGAATTGGTATAAGTAAATAATATAGGATCTAGTACCTACCTAAAAGATGTGCGGGCGTGCGTGCAGGAGTATGATGGCGATGACGATGGCGGCGGCCCATCAGAAAATGACGTGGAATTCATCAACAACCTGGTGGTGAAGATATGGAGCCCAGACGCGCGTGACAGAAAGTTCGGGAAATGCCTCCACGTACTGGATCTGTACCGTAAGAACCTGCTCTGGGAGCCACCCAAGTACCTCCGCAAGCGGCACCAGTACCTGAACAAACTGAGAGGCGCGCAGCGAGCGGCCCAGCTGCGCCGCCGCAACACCACGGTGGCGACGAGGGGCGGCGCAGGAGAGGCTCAGATCGTCCGATCGGCGACGGAGCTGTACGAGGCGGGGATCCGATTCAAGCGGAACAAGACGCGGAGCCTGAAGGACATCTCGTTCCGGTGCGGGGTGCTGCGGCTGCCGCAGATCACGGTGGACGACACGAGCGAGTCGATGTTCCTGAACCAGATGGCGTTCGAGCGGGCGCACGTGGGGGCGGGGAACGAGGTGACGGCGTACATCTTCTTCATGGACACGATAATCGACAGCAACAAGGACGTGAGCCTGCTGCACAACTCCGGGGTGCTGCTGAACGCCGTCGGGAGCGACAAGGCGGTGGCGAAGCTGTTCAATTCGCTGTCGAGGGACATAACCCTAGACCCGCAGAGCAGCCTGGACGTGATCCAGAACGAGGTCTGCGAGTACTGCAAGATCCCGTGGAACGAGTGGCGGGCCAATCTGATCCACACCTACTTCCGGAGCCCATGGGCCTCCCTTTCCGTCTTTGCCGCCATCTTCCTCTTCGCCCTCACCATCGTCCAGACCATCTACTCCATCTTGCCCTACTACAAGCCTTCTTAATATCTCTACTAAACTAAACTAAAATACACCTGAACCACTACAATCTTTTTGGTTTTTTCTTTGGGGTCAATGTGATTTTATCCGGGTTTTTGAAGTATTGAATTGGACCGGTTTTGGTGTCAGGTTCTGGATTCGACCAATCAGGCCGTGCGGTCTGAGGCCAATTTCCAAGTTTTTTTTTTTTTTGGTTCTTTTGAGGTCAATCTGATTCTATATTGGTTTTTGAAGGATTGGACCGAACCGATTTTTGGTGTCTACTTCCCAATTGGATCGGACTGGTTTTCATAACATTATTTTTTTTGAGTTTACGTGTGCTTTTCTATGTTACCAGAAAAGATGTAAAAAGATGTATGACTCTGTGTGTGTTTTGCTTCTTCGGATTTTTTTTCCCAAGATGAGAAGAAAATGATTGATAATACTTTTTGAGATTGGTAATTTTTTGAGTTCTCATGTGGTGTTTTTTATGCTACTGGAAAAGATGTATGACTATGTTGTATTTCTTCCAAATTTTTTTTATCAATAATGAGGAAAAAATGATTGATAATGTTATTTTTGGAGACAATCATTTTGTTTATTGGGTATTTGTCTCCTGTTCATGATACCCGTATTTGCTCAAACTTTCTCCACCAATTCTGTTGAACATAGAAAAAGTTATATTAATTACTACCCCTACAACTACTACTTTGTGGCTCAGCCTTCCCTCAAAGACAACATGATGTTCGTTTCTGTTTTGATTTATGTTTTGTTCTTTTTTCCAAACTGGAATGAAATTAGTAAGAAATCACAAAGTTAAATTAGGAAGCGTCATGTGGATGGGAAGTACTGTATATTCACATGGTCACATCAAATTTAAAAACAAAAAAAAATTAAAAATACTACGTACTCCGTATAATAATTCTCTACCATTGCTAGCTAGCTGTGCAGTATATATTATACTCTTAGAGGGTGTTTGTTTTTCTGCCAGAAGACCTTCTAGCATCTTTTGTCTGCGCCGCGCAGACGCGCGCAGATGATGGGCTCTGCAGATTGTTTGTTTTTTGGAAGACATTTCACTCAAAAAGGTCTTCCTGGCATCTTCTTGGAGAAGACATTAACCAATGTCTTCTAACATCTTCTCCTTTTTTTCTACTTCTCTATTCATTTTTTTAATTGACCATTTTAACTTTTTTTTTGAATAAAAGCAGACATTAAAAAGTCATAATGATCAGTTAAACATGAATGGAGGAAATAGTATAATAAAAGCAGAAGCAGCAGCGTCCTAGCAATTTCGTGTCCGGTCTCCCATGTACTTTATTCTTCTGTTGCATAAAAGAGAAGAAGAGCAAACCACAAGAAGACTCTCTCTCTCTCTCTCTGTGCATTGCTTACTTATGTCCAATGCCCATCATTGAAAGCTGCCAGAAGAACACACATACAATTATTAATACATAACTCTCTTTTGTATGTACAGTAACAGATCCATCCCACAACTCATGAACAAAGGCAGCATTAATTTTTCATGTTTTGTGAAGAAAAAACAAAAAAACGGGGGAGAGGTTCGTAGAAGTGAAATATGATCCATTTATTTAAACCAAATAAATTTAATAAACATGTATGATGAGTGATTTATATCGGTTGTATCCTACCAAAATTCATATTAATGTGTGTGTAGTTAAATGTGACTTACAATGTTATTTTCAGGGCATTTCCAATAGACACCCTGCAAAAGAATAGGAATGATGTTGCAGGAGACGAGAACATAAATGGCTAATGCATTCATCCCCATCCACTCCAGCAAACTTGTCAAGTGTCTGCACCCACACACATCTACCTGCAAAAGTACGTAAACATGATGGAAACGCTTACACTATGTTTGGTTCAAGGAATTTGAAAGGGAAAAGAAAAAAAATAACGAGATGAAAAACAACTTTTCTTGTTTTGGTTGGAACACAAAAGACAAGAAAAGTGGAAGGAAAAACAATAACGAGAAGGCAAAATGTTGAGGGAAATAGTACACCATTAACAGATACTGATGCAGAATAATAGTGCACAAATAAGTTGAAAGAAAAGTTATTCAAATTGTGAGATATAAGTATCTAACCATCATATACACCCCAGCAAAGATAACTCCAGCAGTACCAACAGTGACACACATGTAACTGAAGCTATATAAGACCTTGTTTATATGCACCCCTACAAGGAGAAAATCAGGGATGGTGAATGCCAGAAAAAAAATGGTTTAAGAATTGTGCAGACAAATTCAATTTGTCACTAGGTTGTGAACTTGAGATGTTGAAAAATAAAATACTAAAAAAAAAACTTACCAAGAAAGTCACATGCTACCCCTAATAGTAGGAGACAACATGATGGTATCGTCCATTGCAATATTCGAGCTTTATGGTCCTGTGAGAATGAATTACATCAAATGCAAACCAAGAAAAATGCTACTTTAGGGTCTGTTTGGAAGAAGGATTTTGCAGGGGAAAGATTAGATGGTTTACTCAATATCTTGAAAATAAACTGTTTTTAAAAACAAGCAAAAGGTGATTGAAATGTCACATGGTTACATTCAGTCTTATAAAATCTCAAATGTAAATCATGATATAGATTGACCTCCCAAATCTTCCCCTCCAGATCCATCAATCCAAACAGGCCTTTAAAAAAATTTGTAGACTGAAAGCTCAAACTTCTTTAGTTCTTACCTTGAAATGGATTATAATGTGTCCAAAATGAAGACCGACAAAGCAAGTTGCAATGGCCATCAACGAACTATAGCAATTGTGAATAGAGATAAAAATTAACATACTAGGAAACCGCAGGAGCAGTTATAGTTATTTTTAAAATATACACTAGCTCGCATTTTCCTCCTAAATATTTGACATAATATCCAACATGAATGGGTTCACTGTCTACTTACCTTACCCCAGAACAGAACATATGGCAATAAGACTAATGTTCGAGGATGGACAGTTTGAGACCTAAACTATTTATCCCCACCTTTATAGCTCCCGTGCCACTTACCACTTACCAAACAACAAAATCATGGAAAAAACGAATGGTATGTGGCACATAAAGTTTGCAATTCTTGAAATTATGAAATATGAAGGATGCATTAATGACAAACCTTAAAAGTCCTTCAGGGTCAAAGGGGGATTGGCACCATGAAGGAGCATCTATAGGGAGTGGGCCATAATCTGGAGAATTAATGCTACATTCCTGTCAAATTAAGATATGCATCCAATTTCAAATAAAAAACAAGCCAAACTATTGAAAACCATCAAGCTTAGAGTTTTCACAAGAAAAATACTTCTGTCCGTGCATAAATTGGCCTTCCATACAAGTGTTGAATACCCAAAACTGCACGGTCAACCATTCCAGCTGCATTGCATGCAGGTCCCGTATCTCCCCTCACACCACATTTCACCTTGAAAGGTACGAGAAAATCTTAAGACTATTTGAAGCACTAATATAAAGGCGTACATCTAACATCAGAAACCTTAACAGAACAGAAGAGCTAAATTCCAACAAGAAACTTACTGATAGAATCTTTGAATCAGAAGACCCCATTCCCGCTGGAATCTGATACTCCCAATCTGGAACATAAAGGCCGTACAACAAAGAGAGGTATATGGAAATAAGCACAAAAGCCATGGCCCTGCAAAGAATTCCCTCAGGAAAAAAGGGCAGATAAGGGCATGCACTTTTATTTTAACAAAACTTTGAAAAGTCAAATTCATGTACTTTGTCAGACTCACAAAAAAACTTTAGACAAAGCAAAAAAAGATTAGATAGACTCTCCAATGACCTAATAGTAACACAAATCTTCATCTTTCCCGTCACATGACCATATATTTGAACTTTGAAGCAAATCAGTTCGTCGAACACTCTAGTCATCTCTCACTGGAAACTATACAATATCATTTGTCCTCTTTGTATTTCTACTGATTTTAAGGATCATTGGGCTAACGATAGCCCAACAAAACACCCAACTAAGCATAGCTACCCTGAAGAAGTCAAGTCACTCAGATCAAAATGAAGACACGCCCAACAATACTGCTCTTCAATTCTATTACTCAACATCCAAGACTCTCCTACCTAAGGTCATGTCCTTGCTGATCTGCAGAAACCTCAGCATGGTGAAAATCTAGATTTGGAAAAAGAATGAGCAAGAACTCACCATTGGTATTGGTATCTCTTTAACAAAGATAATCCCGAATCAACCTTGCAATCGTTCTTAAGCCAAATTTCAGAAATAGCTGCCACAAAATAAGCTATAGCAATTCTCTGCAAGAATTAAAAAAAAGTCATCTCACCAGCCACACAGAAAATGCCAAAAGTGCAAAGTAGAGAACATTCTTTTTAATTGAATACAATTGAATTCTATGACCTTGCCTCAGCTAACAGGTGAAATACAAAAGATAAAAAAAACAGACCTGCAAGACACCTGTCCATCTGATTTGAGTGATGTCCACTCCGTAGGTTAGATTGTTGAGTCCATGAAAGTAGCCTCCTGCCAGAAGTGGGAGCACAAAGAATACAAGTACGATAAAATTAGTGGAAGTGCAGTTCTGAAAAATTAATAGACACACTTTTCGTCAAAGGCCAAAACAATCATAATGTGAATTGATAAAAGAAGAAAACCTTGGAGAAAGATTCCAATAATCAATAGCTTAAGGGTCCGTTGTATTGCTTTCCGAGTAGCATCCATTCTGTTTGATAGGTTCTGTAACTCAAAAATAACTGAAGTAAGCCAAAGATGTATGGAACAATATGTAGTGGCTTTCATATACGAGGGTTTACAGTTTGCCATATTTTGCACTAGAACAAAGAATGCAGCATAGTTTATACACAGGAAATTGACCTTAATTGACAAACAGTGACCACATTGATAATTAATTATTCAAAAAGAAAGTTAAGAAAGTGAATTATATAACATATAATTTTGCATTTGTATTCTTTACGAAAAGAGAGGTTTGAGACACAATACGTTAAGGGAGCACAAAAACAGAGAACAAAGTACCTTGTATGCAAGTCCAAGTGATAGTCCAACAATAAAGAGGAAAAATGGCATAACGAGGTCTGCTAGGGTTAAACCATTCCAAGGTGAATGATTAATAGAAGGAAATATTCCACCACCAACTTCAACAAGTATCATTAGCTGCACCAAAAAAAAAGAACACGTTGTGAGAAAGGAAGAGTGTTGACTCCATTGCTAGCAAGCAATACTGCCGCAGGGTTACTGAAGGTATGGTTGATTTGGTTGAATACTATAACAACTACAAATATATTCAATCATCCACCAATTCACTTTACCCTTCAAATCCAAATTTATATATACGGAGTAATACACCGGAAGAGCAGTTAGGAATAAGGGAAAGTGCTTAAGAAAATTTTTTTTAAAAAAAAACAAGTCAAGGAAAAACTGAAAAAGGGGGGGCTAATTGTGAAGGAACGAATTCCTGTTATTCATGATCAAGCAACAGAATGCTTAATAGTATTTCTCCACACACACACACACACCATGTTATGATGGACAGGACACACAAGAACACGTATAAATACAAAAAAAAAATGCATATTCGGACAAAAATATCTGAACTTTGGAAGTAAAAATACACATCACCAAACTGAAATATAGGTTCCGTGTTTGGTTGGTATCGATTTTCTTGGTTTCCATCTGGTTAGGTCGAAAAAACTTAACTGTCCACGCCCCTAGAATAAAAGAGAATGTCCAGGGAGGGAAATAAAGAAAGCGAAAAAAGAGTAAAGGGCGTTACCGCAACTGTAAGCCCGCGAAAGACGTCGAGGGAGACGAGGCGGGGACGGGAGCTGGGGGCGGCGGACTTGACGGGGCAATCGGGATGAGTGGAGCCGCGAGTGTCGGGTTCAATCCGCAGGGAGAAGTCGGAGGGTTGGGGACGGAGGCCATTGCCGTCGCCGGCGCAATGGTCCGGGCTGATGAGCTGATAGGGACAGGGACCCATTAGGGCGGCGGAAGAAGGGAGCGGGGAAGAGATTTTAGCTGCCGACGGATCTGGCCGGGAAAATCGCAATGCGTAGGAGGGAGCACTAACAGAAGATAGTGGAGTATAAGAAATTGCCGTTCATGCGCGCCCCACCCACCACCATAGCCTCCGTCCGTCCTCTTCCTCCTCCTGGGAAAAAAAAAGAGAAAAAGGTTGGAGAGAGAGAGAGAGATGTGGAGACTTCAACGCCAATCTGTTTTCTTTTCCTTTTAGCAACGGGAAACCAGATGTCTGGCAGTAGGCGGACACTATGTCTATGTATATAGTGTTGTCCCTAAATATTTACCACATTTGTATTTCCGATGTAAAATATCAAGTTTTTTCAATTCATTTTATTTATATATTGGTATAGAAATAAAAAATAAAATTTACATATCAAAAAACTACATGAAAAGTTCTTCAAAATAAGAGGTGTCAAGAATATTTTATTTTATCAAATAATCAATGAAAACGTAGAAATAAATAAAAGTTTCCGCAAGTGCTGAAAAAGCAAATGTTGCAAATAATTTGGGACGGAGAGAGTATAAAGGTCTATTATACTCTGTATTAAGAAATTAAGATATACATTAATCTTATTTTATTTTTTAAAGATAGACATTAAAAATCAAAATAGGAATACATGCGTTTTTTAATCCTAGCTAGGATTATCCATAAATCAATGCCATATGTTTTTGGAATGCTAATGGGTTACAAGGATTGTGTGGAATGGTAAGATATTCAAAAACAACGGTGACATTGAAATATTATAATAATCTAGTATCAAGAGAATCACATAATAATAGTACTCCATAATAATTAAATTATTCTTAAATTTACCTTTCATTTGCTTATATTCATTCCATTTAAATCAAAAAGATAAATTCATCTTCAAATGTTTAAAAGAGAAACAAAAATGAAAGTATAAAGCTCTTCTTGTTATAATAAAAAATTGATTTAGTTAAATGGTGTGTAAATTTAGCATCATCCTAATTACTAGGCATTATTATTTATTAATTATATATACTGAGAAAGTAGTTCAAGGTAGAACATAATCTCTAAATCATTTGATAGACAATGTTTACTAAGGCCTTGTTTGGGAAGAGCGTTTTCAATTAGCGTTAGCGTTTTGGATAAAATATTAACGGTGTAGATTAATTCGGAAAATGTCAACGCTAAAAGCTACCGTCAGATAGCCTTTTCAAAACGTTAACGCTAATCTCTAACGGTGATACCAAACGAGACCTAAATTAATCAATACTTTTCAGATCGCCTGAAAATCAAATTCTAAATATTTTATGGACGACACACGAAGCTTCATATTAGAAATATATATTGAATATCAAATTTTTTTGATGCTCTATTCAACTCGAAATTGTTTACAATTTTTTCTTTCACACCTCGATAACTTGTACCTATATTTATTTATGTATTTTGATTAATAATTTAATAGGGTAAAATATATGTGTCACTCTTATTGGATAAAACTTTTGACATAATTTTTTAATATATAAATTTATTTTTTATTATTATGCCAATTTTTAAATAAAATGAGTTTAGAAAACACGAAATTTTATTTTGTATTAAGAAAATTATAATCTGAGTATGGAAGATGATAAAAGGCGAAGGTGGGATTTACGTGGTACTCCACTTGGAAGGGAAGACACAAAAGAGTCCGTACTCAATACTCACCGTCCCTCCCACACGAATGTTCTCTTTCCACTTTCAACCACTATAGGAACTAGGGAGTATATACTAGTAGTAGTAGTAGTAGGAGTTTTGATTGAGATTAGGCCAAACGAATCAATCAAAGGCATATGAGCATATCAAACTAATTCCCTTTTTTTTTGTATATCTATTTTTATGTTGAGGACTTGAGGGTCCATTTGGCACCAATATTTTTTTATATGCGTTAAAGTTTTGAATTAAATTTTAACGGTGTAAATTAGTTTTGATAATGCTGACGGTATATATTGTTTGTAAATAGTCTTTTCAAAGCGCTAATATTAACCTCTGACGCTATTCCCGAACAGTTCCTAAGTCGACATTATTCCAATTTTTTGCTTTCCCAGATTTTTGTATCTTCCACTCTTTCATTTGTGTGTGTCTATCCAAGACTTTTTTTAAAAAATTATTTTAGGTTAAGTATATTCTCAGTTCTCACCAAACAGTAAAGAATGAGACTTGATTTTATTTCAATTCTCTCTAAATACTTTCATTAAAGATTTCAAAACTCCTAATGAACTCTAAAATAAATGTAATGATTAGGATTAAAACAGAGGTGTTACCGACAAAAAATACAGACGCATTAAATTAAGATATATAGACAAAAAAGAAAAAGAAAAAGAGGGCATTGAGGTAGGAGGCATGAAGAGAATAATACGCGTAACATTAGTACAACTCGTAATTAAGTAAAACACGGGAGAATATAATGGTGATGGATGGATGGATGTTCTTTCCCACCATAACCCGTCCCAATCAGTGGTTTATCAAAACAAAAAGAAGTCACAATTTGTCAAAAGCTCAATTAATACGTGGGAGCATAAAAAATCACCTGCATCATATCTTTTGGACTTTGGGGTAACACGGAAATGTAAAAAGGAAAGGTGAAATTAGCAAGATGATTATTCACTCGTACACAGTCATGAGTGATAATATGGTAACCTACATGTGTATTTTACATCATATACACGGTCATCATTAATAATGTAAATGCATTTTAACACTTATTTCAGAAATAAAAACATAAAACTCTTATTTTAGTATATTTTCAATGTTTTTTACATCGTATGTTACGAGAAATAGACATAGATAAGGAAACCAAATCTCAAGGGTTTCAGTTGAGTGACTTTCCTGGTTTTTCTATTACTCCCTCCGTCCCAAATTATAATGTCTGTTTACTATTCACAGGGTCAAACTTCATTCACTTTCTTTCTCTATTTTCATTAGCAAATTGATAAAATAAAATATTGTTGTCACCACTAGTTTTGTAGATCTTTTGATGTAGTATTTTGATATGTAATTTTTATTTTTTAATTCTATACCATTTGTCATATAAAATGATTTGAAAATAACTTCAGTCAAACATCGTAAACCGAAACAGGCGTTATAAAATGGGACGGANATTACTCCCTCCGTCCCAAATTATAATGTCTGTTTACTATTCACAGGGTCAAACTTCATTCACTTTCTTTCTCTATTTTCATTAGCAAATTGATAAAATAAAATATTGTTGTCACCACTAGTTTTGTAGATCTTTTGATGTAGTATTTTGATATGTAATTTTTATTTTTTAATTCTATACCATTTGTCATATAAAATGATTTGAAAATAACTTCAGTCAAACATCGTAAACCGAAACAGGCGTTATAAAATGGGACGGAGGTAGTATTATTTTTTAGATAGTATAATATCCGTGACGGTCTCTCTTTGTTCCATCTTTCTTTATGAGACCGAATGAATGATATTTTGCCCCTCAAAAAGGCCTATCACTTTTGACCATTATGTCCCCATAAAAAAGTTTACTCAATTTGACGTTTTTGATCAATTTGCTAGATACTTGACCATTAATCGAACGGAGTATTATTTTTATAATCCATCCCAAAATGTTTGTAACATTTCGCAAAACGAGGAAAAATATCAAGTTTTTTCAATTTATTTTATTTGAATATTGGTATAGAAATACAAAATAAAATTTAAATATTTAAAAACTACATGAAAAATTTTTCAAAATAAGTACTCCGTATTATTTTTTTAATTAATCAATGAAAACGTACAAATAAACAAAAATTTCCATGATAGTTGAAAAAGGAAAGGTGACATTCTTTTTGGGACAGAGGAGCATAATACTATGTAGTGAGTAAGAAAATTTACCCTATATTTAAATATATTTAAAAAAAAACTTTCTTAACACCAACCCTACAAATGTAGTTCATGTTAAATTTCACACCAAGCGTATTTTATTTATAAAAAGAAGTCATTAAAATAATAATACTCCGAATCTATATTAAGATATTATTTCACTCATACTTAAATACCTGATCTTTTGTTTTCTTGCTTTTTGTGGGGGGCATGATGAGTAACAAGCTCAGCTGCTTGGTGGAAGTCTAGGCCCAGAATTTGAAGCCATCCATGAAGTGGTTACATGTATGAGCAGATCAAGGTCTTTTGATTCTTCAGCACGAATGACATTCGAATCCACACCACCCAAAGCATTGCCCATTTCTTTAGCGAAGCTTTCCCACGGTGTTCCTGCAGTCAAATTCGCCAGAAGCTCCCCGCTCTTGTTAACAGCATTTGTCATTGCCAGAGCCTGTAAAATATGATACCAATGTTTGGTCACAAAATGCGGAATGAAGGGTTATACAATTGTCACATTAGCGCACCAACTCGCCAGATCCCTAATTTGAATGGGACTTTCTAGTGGTTTTTTTCATTTGTCTGTCACTAGAGGGCTAAATTCAGGACATTTTGAATATAATGGGTCTAAATCGCCAGTCCCCTATAAGTACAGACCACAAACATGCATTTTTACCACAAAATGCATACGAAGCCAATCATACAGTCCAAACTATTTACCGGTATAGTTTTTACCTGGTGTAGGGGCAGCCCATGGCCTCCTGGTAGAGATCGAATAGACATATCCAGCATTGAACTGATAGCAGAATCCGTACTAAGCAGCTGAGCAAGTACTGGAGTTTCATCAATTGTATCATCTTTGAACTTTATCAATAGATTCCTTGGAATGCCATAGTATGACTTTATCTGTAGATTGGTTACCATCAAATGTTTTGGAAAAGTGGTCAACTGTCATTATTATTATGATTACTATTGCGATACGACAAGGTTGGATGAACAGCAAATAACGATACTAGTCTGCTAAACTTACAATGGAGTACTATCTGGATGTATGAGTGCACCCAAGTCCCAATATCACAGAAAAGCATTATCAGGACAGACTTTTCCACTGATAATTTCAAAATCCAAAACCTCATTCTCTGCAATTTACCTTGTTTTTTTCTAGCTATGCACTGATGCTTTTCAATTCCATGAAAACTTTTTGCCTTCTCAAAGGTTTCAATTTGAACCTTTTAGTGAACAAGGAGCTGAAAGCCCATGGATCTTTTTAAAAAGCCATATAGAAAATTACAAGTCCACGACTTTTCTTTTGCATAAGGGAAAACACACCAAGGGTTGTTGAGTAAAATGTGTAGAGTGTAACATAAATTTCATTGCAGATTTGTCAACAAGAAATGATCTCAAAACCTTGTAAGCCAATACAGAAACCAGTGAATATACTCCAAAGATATATGTATCCGATATCCTTTGACGGAAATTCTAAAAGCTGGGAAGTTTCAATACCAGTTTTTTTGTTTCTTCAGGCCTAGGAATGAAATTTTCTCTTCCATTAATCAAGTCCATGTACAAAGGAGGAAGTTGTTCAACCAAAGGAAGTACTTGCTTCACAATTGCAGGGCTAAGAGTCTCTAGTTGCTTTAGAGTAATCTCTGCCTGTAGATTCACAACAATGTCAGATTAAAGGAACTTTTTAATAACCTCCTTCACACTGGTGCCTGCAGAACTAAGGGCAAAAGTATGAGGAATGCTCTTAAGGGTATATTTAACCTTCTCCTAGGAGACATTTGTATATCACTTAATTATGCCAGGAAAATAGTGCATAGTTTCAAACCAATAAGATAGTTTATCATCTGGAATGCAATTAGAGATGCTTGAAATGCATCCGGGTATACAATGAAAATAGCATTGTTATCAATCCTAAATGAATATCTAGTTCACCTAAATAAAGTGATAAACTCCTACCCCAAGACGAACCGTTGGTGAAGTTGCAATTTGTGAAAGAAATGGTCCAACGCTTTGTGCCATTGGGACAAGAAAGGGAGAGAACAATGGAATCGCAAGGCTCGCGTCCTGAAATTTATTGAAGATTGCATCAATTGTTTTTTAATCTCAATGCAACAACTATTATTGGATACATCAAGATTTAGTGTTAAAGCCTTAAAAAGCATAAATTTTTTTCCTTTTCCCTTCTTATGAGAAAAGCTCAGATGAAAGTGGCCAATTAATGGGACGTGAGAAAGTGCACCAAATTTAAGAAAAGTAAGATTGTATGGTTGATATTGATCAAGTAAGAATGAATATGAGCACAAATATGACCAAATATGATATGAGACAATGCTAGTGGAAAGGACAAAAAAGGTAAAAGCCTAAAAGGGACAAAAATAGTGGGACAGAGGGAGTAATAATCAACTCCAATGGATATAACAGCAAAGTGAAATAGTAGAAGCCTAAAACAACATGCTCCAATTCAGAATGCTTGCTGATCACACAAAAGAGCCAAGCATATGATCAAGTCTTTGTTATTAGCCGATTATAATGCTTGACAGCTATGCAGCCAAGATTTATGCTTTATTATTAAAGTTTATATTTATTAGAGATATTTGTATTATTATGTGATTATGTTTCCATATTTAGAGCTAGGGTAGTTAGGGTTGTAACCCTATATAAAGGGATGTAATTGTATCAATCGATTCATTGAGAAATAATAGACGATAATCACTTTTATTTGTTTCATAGGGTCAACGGGTGACTACCTTTCTGTTCTCAAATGGTGACCACATTGTCTTTACATAAGGTTTGTAACTTTAAAAAAATTATGAAATTTCAGACTGGTTAGTCAACTCGGTTAGGAAACTAGTTCAGTGGGTCAGTGGTCAAAGACCTATTGGGATACTAATTGACCAGCATGACCCAGCCTACAACAAGTTAACAACAAGGAGTCAAGATGTATGCAACGCTAACCCTGTAAAAATATGGAGGCTGTTTTTGTTAGACCCTTGTTGCATTTACTTCCAAAAGTTTCATAGAAAATAAGAAGCAATGGAAGCTTGGTTTGCCATTTTGATCTATTCCATTATTTACCTGAAGCTAAAATGTTGTCAAAAATGACTATTTCAGCTCCATTAGCAATGGATGAATAGCATGCCTTTACACAAAGAAAATAATATTTTCTCACTATTATGAGCTATTTCCTGTGCAAACAAACACAGTTATTCTTAACAAATAAAAAAAGTTTAATCAGAACATTAACAATGAAAAACAATTCATTGACTACCTTATTGTTAAATGACATTAATACGTTCCCACTTCTCTGAATAGCATACCTTGAGCCTAATTGTCAGGAAAAAATGAGATGAACTGCTGGAGATCAAGGGTTTGTTTACATATTCAATATAGAAAATGTAATTCTACAATACCAATCAAAAGGTGAATAACAGAACCCAGCGAATGGCCAATGCCAAAAATAGGAAGATCTTGTGCCTGCAAAGCACAGGTAAATAAACAACAATAGTAATGATACGAATTAATACTCTATATAGAATGCCTAAGGCTAACCCCCTAGCAAACACCAGTGAACGAAAAATGTTCGAAATGCATGATTATAAAAACATGAAGTTCACAATTATTTATTTCCTCTTGTCATTCATTTTCATTTGAGTTGAAATGTTTATACATAAAATTACACCAGTACACCACATTATCTTTATAAATATTCCCAACGTAGAATTAATTGTGACAGTTCATTTGTGGTTAATACAGAAAATGTGAACTACTAAATTGCTGAAACCAAAACATTTTGGAACGCGTGAATATGTGGTATTTTAAAATGTTTTCATATTTTAATTGCATTACATTTTGAACATATGCAGATGACATGCATGTTACTAGTACTAATATTTGTATAAATAAATGTCCAATGTCAGCACGAAAATGTTGAAACTCACTGTTTCCTGGAGAAATCGAAGACACCTATCAAATTTGAACTGCACCTCATCTGCAATGAAGTTGTGATCAAAACCACTTGCATAAGGAGTAGCAATCACCAATATATCCCTGCCAAAAACAAAGAAAATCAAAACAAAAACTCAGTATGCTATCATCAAATTCTCAAACGAAACATGATAGACAAAGCTTGGGAAAGACATTGTGGATTACTTGAATAGAGAAGCTAAGAAATATTTTCACTAAAATAGAAACATGAACCAATATGTGTTGAATACACGACTTGAGCAGAAAGAAAGCAAAGAAAGGGAATGACGAGAATTGGGAATACGAAAATGAATAGGATCAAAGTTACTGTCACAACCAATTAAGAGCAAAGATCGAGTTATATGGGTCAATAGGCATGAGGCACTCACTTCTCAACAAGACGCTCCAAGAATAGGCGGTAGGTAAGCTGAGGAGCAGCCCCAACGAAAACACCTCCAACAAAGTGTACAATTAGCCTTGGTTTTGTGTTTCGTGGTCCTAATACCCATGTTCCCTGATATAATTCTTAAAAAGCATTATACAATGTACCACAGTTCCATAAAAAAATGCTGATTTCTATTGATATATTTGCTCCAGTTTAGCTTCAGGCTTCTCGCGAGGAATGTGGTGATACTAGTCTTCCTCTAGCAATGCAGTGTAATGCCACAACACTCCTTACAACTAAGATCCTTAATGAATTTAAAGAACTGATCACAAAACCATGCTTTTGCTCCAAATAATCACGAGATCCATTTGTAGCCTCTCAAATTAAATCATTAAAAAAACATTAACAGAATATGACTTGAAAATTATTAATAAATGCACCTGAACTTTCACTGTCCGCTAGTTATTTCATCTAGAACCAAATGGAATTTTTGCAAATGTCATTATGTAAATCTGAACGCATTACTGTCCGCTAGTTATTTCATCTAGAACCAAATGGAATTTTTGCAAATGTCATTATGTAAATCTGAACGCATTGCATGATGAATAGAGGCTAAGGGCAATCTAAACATGTTGAATAAGTCTTTGAACAAGTCAGTATTTTTAGTAGTATTATTGAATAAGTCAGTATCTCTTTAGTAAACTATTTTGTCCTATTCTTAAGGAAGTAGCTGGCCACATTCTGTGGATTTCCTTGTTTCTAGTAAATCAGTTTGTATCCACTTTCTCTGTTTCTACAGCCTATAAATTGGCTTTCCTATGGAATAATATATTATCAAGTTCTTCTCTAGTTCCTCGGTTGATTTCCTGAGTTCTCCAATTTATATTAGTTTCATATATTTCTTCTTATTAAGGTTGCTCACAACCTATTTGATAAAAGTTCCCAAAGAAACCCAGTCTACAAAACAAACAGAAAACTGAAAGGTGGAAGAACAAAGTAGCAGCCTAGCAGGAGAATATCTTAAGATTCTTAAATTTCAGATATAATTCTTCTCAAGTACCCAAGAAAACCTAGAATATCAAACTAGAAGACTATGGTTTCCGTTAATCACCTCAACTTCCTTCCAATCTTTTGAGGTGCCCCAAGTATCTTGAGACTTCTTGGCTGTGCTAGTGAGCAGTCTGAATATAAACAAAGCATAAGCAGACATTACTACAACAAAGTTAAAGAACAGTGACAAGAGAGACTGAAGGGGATAGAAGACCTTTCAATATCTTGATAAAGCTGAATTCCGCTTCTTTGGGGCTGAGTGCCCGAGCTGTTATAATTGAAGCTGCTTCCACATTTGATTCTGCTGCGGCGGCCAGAATTACTGTTTCCGATCGCCGGCCGAGACATACTAGGGGTGCGAATGCGGCATTTCTGTAATGGCGAAGCGGAATCGACGATGAAGGAGGGATGGAGTCCTCCGTGTAGATGTGGCGCGCATAGCCAGCTGCTCGCCATACCTGCTCGAGGCCTTGCTTCTTCTTCTCCTTCTTCTTCTTCTTCGACCAGCTAGCTGCCCACACAATTCGGCTCTCCTCATCTAATCGCAGTTCAGTGTTTGTTAGTCTCACTTCACGGTCGCAGTCACTTGATCATTTTGAAAAGACCTTGAATCTATAATAATTAAATAAAAATTACATGATATATTTTTTTATACAACATGCTATATTAATTAGAAAACGATTCTGAAAATATTTTATAAAATAATTCTAATAAAATTATTCTTAAATCAACCAGGATGAATAATATACATCTTATTTAAACTTCTAATTGTAACAAAACTATATTTTGTTTTGAAAATCGTAAGTATATTTAAATAAATAAACACAAAAAACTAAAATATAAAAATTAAATGCAATAAATGCTTATGAAACTTAATTTATATTTCACAAACTAAAGTGAATGCATAATAACAAAATGATACTTCAAATGTGTGTGTTAATAATTTTAAATTCATCTATAAAAAATTTAAACTCAAATAAAAGTACAATGTGCATATAATCAAATTTGAAACAAATCTTAAAAATAAACTTATTATTTAATGAAAAAATATAAAAAGATTATTATTTTTATACTCCGTAATATTTTAGTATATATATCCGGTTCAGGATTTCCAATATGAGAAGTTACCTCATACCATTTCCAAATACCAAACTAAATGTTCGATTCAGTATAGCTTGGTATTCTAGCAATATTTTTTTGGTTCAACGTTTTTTATAATTTTTTATATCGGTTCAGTACTTGTCCACCCTATTAGCATTTGCTACGAGCACAACCAATGCTATAGTATTTAAAGTAATAATCATATGTTTAGAATTATTTTCATATCAGCATCATTCACTTAAAAAATATCACAGAGTGATTCTTTGGTGCATATCATTTTATGGACTTTCTCACATAACATTTTTTTAAGAATAAATGCTTATCTTTTTAAATTTTTTTTAAATGTTTTTTTAAATCTTATTTTAAATCTTTTTTTATTTTAAAAAAAATAAATGCTTATCTTTTTTTGGACTACCCAACATCTTCTTTTCCCCATTCAGATTTCGCCTTAAACTCTGCAATGCACACGAGAAACCAACATATGAAATGTAACAAGCAAGCAAGCACTAAAAGCTGGGCTGGTGCATCTTACATCCCTCAATGCCATTCTGTCTTGTAGGTGGTTCCCAACTGGGTGCCAATCTATTCAACACCTGGTTTTGAATACTCTGATTTTGGTGGGCTGAAGCTGGAAATATGTTCACTTACAAAATGCCTATCTAAATATTTAAAAGAATGTAAAAATAAATATTGAAAAATACTCTATACAATATATCTTCAGAGGCAGTCAGTCGTCCTTCATGCCAACCCGTATATTTTGCACATTTATTGAAAGTTGCTGTCTATGGTGTTCTATATCCTTCAAAACTGAGACAAGGTTTGTGCGGTAAACTTCACACTTTCTATTGGCACAGCTCAACTCATAAGAAAGTTGTTGGATCTTCCTATCCATCTCATCCTGCAAATAAAAACATTGTGATATGCCACATCAGTAGAACATCTCTCATTACAACATATATTAAGGTCTTGACAGTTGGGTCTGGCTAAAGAAAACAAAGAGTTTCATCCAAACACATTTAGAAAATGCGCAGAGGAAGTCTTTAAAAGAAACGATCACAATAGATACCAACCTCGGTGAGCAGCTTAGAAAAGATCCCATGCTGATCCTCGACGTTCATACTTTCCCGGGTACCATCTGTATTTGGTTCGCATTGGTTACACACATCCAAAGAGGAGATCTTCTCATCACGGTTAGCAGCAGCAGCAGCTAGGGAAACTTTTTTTGAAGCCTCGTCCAAGGCAGCCATTGCAACTGTGTATGTGTGAACTGATTCTGCCCCTTCTTCCACAAACTTAAGAGCTCTATGTCTCAACAAATTATATCGAACAGTGTGCGATTCCAGATAGCGATTGAAAGAGCCAGCAACGTGGTCCTCAAGTGCAACAGTGCTCTTTGCGTTCCTCGTCCATCTCTTCAAAATATAATGAGAGGGAAGTGTTAGAACATTTGTCGCTCTGAACACCGCCAACACATGTCTGCAAAGCAAGCCTGAGAACTCAAACATCTGACAACTGCACGTGGCTTTCATCTCAAGAACGTTAAACCGGACATAGTAAAATTTATGATCCTTGCCAAACTTTGAGAGTTGGTATGTGGTGGTTGCTTCCCCATTGTCCTCAACCTTGGTTGCCACGAAAGTGAGAGTGTCAACCAACTCCTCCTGGAATCTCATGAATATCTTCTTCGTGTAGACCTCTGATGCTTGTTTCTCCATAGGGGAGGGGGTTTTCAGAGCAGGAAGGGTATTCATGCTATCGTAATCAGCTTTAACCTCCTTTTCGTGGCGACTCTCTAGTGCCTTCTCATACAATTTGAAGAACTGGTTCAGATTTGTTGATGCATTCACATAACCATCAAAATAAGAGTTCATAGTGTCACTGCGCTGAGTTAAGGACATTTCTGCAAAAAAAGTGTCACGAAGATAAACAGGCACCCAATGCCTACGGTCCAAGTAAATGGATTGAAGCCAATCATGATCCCTGAGTTCATATTTATCCACCAGAGAAGACCAGCAACATTCATACTCTTGGGTGGATTCTGTCAAGTTAACACACTTGTGAAAGTCTGCTTCGAAATTAGGGTACTTGAGAAACACGTGAGACAGCCTCTCCTGGCATTTCTTGAAAATATGCCACTTGCAGAAACGGTGGCGAGACTCTGGGAAGACCTGCGTAATGGCGGACCTGATCACTTCATCATGGTCTGTTGTGATTGAGAGAGGAGGGGGGTCACCAAGCATGGATGCAAGCCACGTCTTAAAAAGCCAAACAAACGAAGCTTCCGATTCGTTTATTAGGAATGCACAGCCAAACAGCACGGGCTGCCCATGATGGTTCACTCCAGTGAAGGGTGCGAATGGCAACCGGTACCTGTTTGACCTGTAAGTCGTGTCAAACGTGACGGTGTCTCCGAAATGCTTGTAATCTTGTCTTGCCTTATGATCTGCCCAGAAGACATTCCCTGTGAACTGATCCTCATCACCCTGAATGGCATAGAAGAAATCAGGGTTTAGGGCAGCCATCTGTCTCAGGTAATCAATAAGGAGCTGTACATCACCTTCTAGGCTCCTCTGGCGGCTATTCCTCATGTAATTCCTGCAGTCCACTTCTGTGAACCCCACTTTGCTGATCCCGCCATACTCTTTGATAAGGGCAGACATGATCCTCCGGGGCCCCATTCCGGCAGCCTGCAAGGTGTCGATGAGGGTCTTGGCTGGACCAGAGATCTGACGGTGGGAACGAAGACAGTGGACCTGGTCAGGGGGGACCAGCTCGTGATTGTGATCTCTGAAAAAACTGGATACAACCCATTTGCCCGAATCCTGTACCTTGACGGAGAGAGCTGCTTTGCACCCGACCCGGGTGATTAAGCGGGGCCGTTTGATCTCCCTGTCTTTGGTGCGTTTCTCGTTCAAATTGCGGAATCCCTCTTTAGAACAGACGAAGGATCTCTGTATGATGGCCCCATCCTTGCGGGATCGACGGGAAGAACTGACCCGAGTGCTGAACCCGACACGGCGCGCGTACGAGTTGTAGAAAGCCTTGGCTGCCTCTTCAGACTCAAATTCCATACCCTCGTAAGGTTCCAGATCGAGTTCGCCCGGGGCGGAAGTGTACAGAGCGGCGTCGCTACTGAGCGAGGGAGAAGAAGATCCAGGCACGGTTTCATCGTCATCCTCAATGTGTTTCAGAGCGGCGTATCCATCTCCCTCTTCGTCTTCACTCCCACATCCCAGTCCGATGTCGATGTCAAACTCAATAACCTGGCTCTCCATTTCAGCATAGGTTTTCTGGATGCCGGATTAAAACAAGATGTTACTGAGGGAGAAATCGACATGAATTTAAAAAGGGGGAAGAATAGGCAGACAACTGACCAGTTGTTCGAGACCGGTAAGAAGCGTATTTCGTAAGATTTGTTTGAAATTTCTTCCCAGTTCTTTGGCTGGAGGGGGATCATCATCGTCTTAATCAGAGCTCAATTGCTCAAACCAAATCAATCAATCATTCAGAATGGTCGAAGACTCCAAATGTTGAAACGAGCGAATTGAACAGAATGTAGTGGAAAAATGAAAATGGTATACTCACAAACAAAAGAGTACAAAATAGGAGTAGGTAAACTTGTTATTTATGTAATTTAAATTTTCTTTTTAGTTTAAAATTATTTAAATCTCATGATGAATTACAATAAAATAGTGATATGAATTACAATAAGGTGCTTGTGTTTTACTATTTCTCTTCTTTTTATACAATAAAATAGTGATATGAATTACGATAGTGACTAACATGATTCCCACTAACTCAAGCCGGTCTCTAACATTCCTAGCCAAAGTGTGGGCCACCATTTTAGGAGACCTAAGTACAAAACCAATGGTAACATTATCAAATGACAACATTCATGAATAAAAGAACCCAAATACGAGTTGCATTCAAATTGCTTGCCCTACTAATTAGAATATCCAATCAATTAAAAGTTCGAGAGCAATTTCACATCCCACACACCCCTTCCTTTCAACCAAAAGAAAGCCAATGTCTATCCAAAAGGCATAGCGTTGGACGGTGTTAAAATCCCAATAGTCCGAGTGAATAGGGCAGAGTGACAAGTAAAATTTGACCAATTTCTCACTAAAAGTTGGGATCCAATTTTCCTCTAAAAGTTCAAACTAATTTGTAGTCATATTTCTTTATATGGGAATGATTTGATATTAATTCTTTTTTATGTGAGACATTCCCAACATACCCTCTCAAGGCCAAGGGGTGTGGGATCATAGTGTCCAACAAACCATGGACGCCTCAAGAAGAGTTTGCGTTGGTGAGAGCTTGGGTTATCATTTCTAAAAAAAACCCATAAAGGCAATATTTTTAATACATTTTTTAAATTTATCTTTTGAATTTTATTTAAAAATGCGACTTTCAAAAAAAGGCAACACACAAATGAGTGACGAGTTGTAGAATAAAATCATGGAGAAATTTCATGAGCTCATCCAACAGCGGCCTTGCCGACTATTTCACTCTGTTAGTTCAAGGTTTCAGGACATGAACAAGAATGTGAGCTGGTTTGCTAGTATATTATTATTATTATTATTATCATCATCATCATTATTATTATCATTATTATTATCATTATTATTATTATTATCATCATCATCATCATCATCATCATCATCATCATCATTATTACTGTTACTATTATTATTATTATAACAATAACAATAATAATAATAATAATGGTTTTAGGATAGTAAAACAACATCAATTGTTTCGTATATTGCTTTAGGTTTCATGTTTCTAATAAAACAAAAAAATGTGAGAAAAAAACCCATGTATGCTTTCCGTTTACATCTCGTTAGTTTTCCAAATTCCAATAAATTTTGAAATACACATTCCATCATGTGGACTGGTTTCAGAAAAAGGGGGGAAAAGGGAGAGTAATAGAATCATTGTTTTGAGAATGTGAACTATTACCAAAAAAACATTACAATTCATACACGGAGTATTTAATAATAATTCCATGCTGGCAACTCAACGATATACATGATGAATCAAATTGCCTACTCGGTAAATGAGTGTCATGCACTGCCCTGCATACCCATCTATAAGTAATTTTTTTAAAAAGGGAAATGCTACGTATGCACCAAATTTACACCATACTTACATTGCATCACAAATTTTGAACGAAACAAATCTTGTTTGTTTCACATATTACATGTAAACAGACAAAATTGTATTTCAAAATTTCGACTGTGATGCGAGTTTAGTTAAGTGTCATTTACATGTACACATGTAGTAGCATTCTCCAACAACAACAAAAAAAAGAATCTATACTATTTTAGGTCCTAAATAAAATCTAAATTAGAGTGACACTTACAACCGATTCCTTCCTGGAATTACAGGACGTTTGGAGTTGATTAACGTCAAAAGTCCCAAACCCAGAAAGTTTGATGCCATAGGCTTCCATCCTGCGAATATCTCGTGGAAGGGGAGACTGCCACATGCCATCCCACCAAGCAGGTGGAAGGATTGGTGTGTACGCGCATTGGTTTGATTGACCGTGGCAACTCAATGGCCCTGCAAATCTGTTCCATACGTGTCCCCACCCAATCTGATTCCTCAACCCATCAGACACCAGGTTCCTTTGGAAGCTACTCAGGAAAGTAAAACTCGAGCCATTAGAGGAGTCATCCTCTGAGAAAAAAGAAAAAAACGGGCTAAATATAAAATTTATATATACAGGCTAACATGCCCCAGCTCACTCTCTATTTGGTTTTTAGAAAGAAAACGGGTGAGGGAGGGAAAATTTCATGTCGTCTCCTAAATACTCCTTCCAACAGTGGAGAGATTTGGAGGGGAGAAAAAAATATTTATCCAAGTGAGACTAAACAAACATTTCTGTGTAAAAAAAATCCAGGTGGGGAGAACATTTTCAATGATAGAATGCTGAAAATTTCCAGGGCATTACGAGCATACTAACTATGTACAATACGTGCAAATGCACATAAAATGAGATTGTACTAGTACTTATAATTAATTATAGTGATTATAAGGCAGTTTTTGTTAATCTAATACTAGTACTTGTATAAGATAAGGGAAAGATAGTCTTATATTCCCCTCCGTCCACAAAAATATTAAAAAAAAACAAACACAGAGTAAGTAGATTGAATAACTAAATTTACCAAGGTGGTGAGCTGCAGCCAATGCTGCAATCAGTTGAGCATATGTAGTCCCAACGCGCCGGTGAGCCCCAGAAACAACAGCATGTTTTACCCGTGAAGCAAGAAAAAAATCAACAAAAGCAACCCATCTCGGGGCTGGGCCCCAATCCTTCTCTCTAAAGCTCACAGTAGCAGATTTGCCTGTGTATTGGGATAAGTTTCCTTCAAAATGTTTGTAATCAAAGTGCAAAACCTGGTAAGACCAGATATATGCTTCAGTTAAAAAATGCAGATATATCGGATGCTATTTCATCTCCAATGTTTTATGGAACCTTCAAAGTTACCTTAGCAAACTCATCCAAGTATGGAGCAATAAATTTCACAAAAGAAGGCGTGTCTGAAACTATAACAACTCTGGGTTTGGTAATCAGTTGAAGATCATTTACGGCTTTTCTAATGCACTCCAATGCCGCCCTTACAGCTCTCACGGACCTGATAAAAGCAAACAATAATAACGATAATAATATACCTTCATAACTTCATTCTCAAATACCTGTTAATTAATTAAATACACTTTTTTTTACAAATAAGTGCTTATTTAGCAATCCCATAGAAGGAAACATAGTAAAATGACTAAGTTGCCATCCCATATATATTTCACAATTTCTTATTACTTTTAAAATTTAATACATATCAATCAATAAGGGTAAGTTTGTAATTTTAGGACAAAATAAATTATCACCTTAAATCCCATAATGTTCCTTAATGAACATTTGATGGATACTAACAAGCACATTATAATCAATGGTCCAGACTTTATAACATATGTTCTCGCCCTACAATGAGCAGGATCAAATTATGAAATCTTCATAAGATTAATAGATCAAGCAAGCAACCCACATTTCTTTAAAACTTAAAGCCACACAATATATATGAATATGATGTTGTATTCGGGAAGGCCAGCACTGCATGCAGTTATGCTCTACCTGTTTGTGAGCATTCGCATATGAAGAGCAATATCAGGGTCAGCACCATCACTACCACCTTCCTGAAGTATAGAGCTCACAGCATGTTGCACAAATTCTGAAGGAGATATCAGAATTCGCATTAACTCCCCAAAAACATTGGGCCTATAGTGAAGATCCTCAGGTCTCCCAAATAAATCAGTGGCAGCTGTCCTTGTATCATCATGAATATTCTTTAAAAAGAACTGAGCGGCCACAGCATCTGTTGTGTTTTGTAACCTAATTGCAAAGCTAAGGAAGTCAGCCATTTATTATTCTTTGAAATTCTTAATGTCTCCATTTAAATGCGTGTGTACTGCATCAGATCATCATCATCATTTGGATTTGGCATTGTAGCTAGCGTGGTGTGTTTTGTTACCATATGATAGGCTGTTTCCATCCCATCCAATTGCTGCAAAGAACATTAGTTCGTGTTGGCTTCTGGAAATCATCGATTCTCATTACTAGATGCCTTCCATATTGACTCAAACAGCCGTTCTGTCTCCATAGATGCTTTATTTCACTCAAGGTGAAGGCAACATTGGAGTAAGTGATGAATTCCTCAAAGGGAAACCTACCCCTGAAGTTTGAATAGAAGATAACTCAGTTAATGAGAGAACATAGCAGGAAGAAAGAAGGGGATGCAGGTAGCCGGGTACATGCCTGGTTTGGCCAATAATGAGAGAGCGGTTGAGCATGACACTGAGTGCAGCCCCAGTTAAAATTTTGTACATTTCGTTCCCAAAACCTGCTTCTGATGCCTTCCCCAACACAAATCCATGTTTGCAGAACTCTTTTGGGGGAAGTCTCCTCACTTTTGATGCACCTGCAGGCAGATGGTGATAGCCACCCAGCAACAACAAAAACAACATTATTTGATTGAATGCCCAAATTTCTTCAAAATCACTTTTTTAAATTTTTTCTTCATGGCATCTTTTGCCCCAAGCTGGGAAATAATTGCTACTACTTTAACATAGCATCTTCAAAATCCCTAGGTTGAGGAGTTACACCTAATAATAATTATTATTATTATTATTAGTATTATTACTATTATTATTATTATTATTATTATTATTATTATTATTATTATTACTGGAGTATTATTATCCATAGTCATAGATGAACAAAAGCTCAACTAATCAATTAGACATGCTACATTTTACATTGATTAATTCACAACAGAAATCCAATCCTAATATAGTATCCTTGACTGCAATGTAGTACTAGTAATCAATTAATTTGCACAAATGGATAGATCCAGATTATGCAAGCAAGCTAAGTACCCCGTAGTTGGTATCAATTGCACAAAGTAAGGTACCATTGATGGCAAAGTGATTCCGGATGGTATTTCTGAGTGCGAGAGCAGCAGCTCGTTGTTGGTCGGGTGAGCCCTGGCGGAAGACATCTCCCATATCTTCCACTGTTGCGCATGTTGTGTTCCCTCGAAAGTCGCCGGAGACGGGAGCAGTGTCGTCGGCGAGGAAGGCGGCGAAATCGATGGGGACTTGGTGGGAGGATGAAGGTGAGGGATCGACGGATCTTGACGAGGTGAGGAATAAGAAGCCGAGGAGGGTGAGTGACGCGGTGGTGAGCAGCAAGCAGTTAGCGACTCGCCTCCGTCGCAGCACCGATCTCACTCCCACGGCGTCGACCCTCATAGTCACAGGATTTTCTCTCTTTCTTAACTCGATTATTAGATAAGCTCATTAAAAGGGCTGAATACATTGTTCTTTTCAGCTGTTACGTACGGAAGGAAGCCCACATTTCATAATAATGAACCTCCCTCCTCCCTGGGTCCCCGGAAGCCCACATTTCCTAGGCAATGCTAGGGTATACCAACAACCAACATGGGTACCCCAAGTGTACACCAAGCCAACACAGACACAAGTGTCTGTGTGTGTCTGTGTTGGCTTTGGTGTACACTTGGGGTACCCCATGTTGGTGTACTCCTAGCTTAATTCTTCCTCTTATTATGTTAAACTTTCCAAATAAAGTTGTCATTGTTTTTTTAAATAAAAATTATTGGGTCACCTTTTTCATTTGCATAAATTTCAAATACATAATTTTTTTTATGAAATTCTGTAATGTCTAAAAGGAACTAAAATACATGAAATATTGAAAAGTTATTTCAAAATATGTAGATAAAAAAAAGTAAAAAAAACATTTGTGAGACACACATGTACTTTATTAATCCCAAATACGGAGTAAAATTTTTCTTTTCTTTTTTACGGAATTTATGAAAAAATGAGATTATATGATTGATGTTTTTCTAAAAGGAGTAACAAAGTGAACCACTCACCACTTCAAAAGAAATACAAAATCTATTTTGGAACAAATAAAAAAGAAAAATGAGAAGTTTATTATAGTGAAATACTTTTGGAGTTTTCATTTTTTACCAACTCTTTGAAGTTTGTACCTTTTTTTCTTTTGCAAAATACTCGCTTTGTTCACCAGAATTAGTTGTTGGTTTTCTTGATTACTTTGCGGTCAGTAGCATTCGGGTGATAATATACGTAATGTAACTTTTTCATTACACAATGAATATATATGCGCCAGAAGAATGCCACCTATTTTAAAAAAAATAATAGACATGTCTGGGAATAGTACTAGAGATGAGCATTAGTGTTTCAAAAATGTTATCTATGGTCAGGATTTAGCATCTTTTGTTTCAATTAACTTATGAGAAAGTAGTTTTCTTTCCCTAATATCACAATACATAGAAAATAAAATTCAGGTTGAACAATAACTCCAAGAAAAACATATATCTCTCTAGATTTGCTTTGTGTTCAGAACAAATAATGAAAACATGCTTTTTCTCCCTATTTTATTATTTCATGTGCACAAAGATAGGAGCTGCGAAAAAAAGAAAATGAAAATAAAGGCCGCAGCTGGATGTCTCTCCCTCACTCCAACTTATTGTTATTGTTATCATCATTATAATAATTATTGCTTTTTTCAACAAAAAAAAATGCTGTATAAAGAAAGAAAGAAAGAAAGGAGTGGAAACTAGTCCAAATCTACAACACAATGGGAAGGCAATGCTCATGATGATGATGATGATGATGATCAAAGATCAGCAAGACGGATGAGCTGGTCGACGACAGCAGGGTCTGCGAGTGTGCTCATGTCCCCAAGCTCGTCCGACTGCTTAGAAGCAATCTTCCTCAAAACTCTTCTCATTATTTTCCCACTCCTCGTCTTTGGAAGCCCAGGCGCCCAATGAATTTTGTCAGGCGCTGCAAACGCTCCAATCTACACACACACACACACGCATATTTCATCTTCTTAACATTAAAAAACTTAAATTCATTCTATCAGCAGCTTGCAGAAGCAGATTGCAGGAATGAACCAACGAATGAATGGCTGGACGGGTTACCTGCTTTCTCACGGTGAGCACAAGTTCTTTCTTGAGTTCTTCGCTGTATGGAACTCCATCAACCAGTGTCACAAATGCATATATTCCTTGCCCTTTTACCTGTTGGTGGTAATACCCAAACAAACAAACATATATTATGAGAAGGTAGCATGTTAGTATATGAATAATAGGGGATGTGATGGATATTTTTTATTCATCATCATCATTTGCTTGTCTGTCACCACCTAAATGCAAGAAAGGCAAGTCACCTCATGTTCCACACCAACAACGGCGGCTTCAGTGCATTTAGGATGTGAAACTAGAGCTGATTCCACTTCGACTGTGCCAATACGGTGCCCACTGGTTAAAAAAGAAGAGGATTATTTTGAATACAAGTATATCTCAACAACTCCAATTGCAACAAACGGTGCGAGTGTACTTTTTTTCCAATTCAGTTCTATGACTTCTATCATCACGCAAACAAAAATCCCAAAAGTAGTACTTTCGCAAATGGAATAAATCCCCCCCACCACCACCACCCAAATAAAAAATCCGCATTAATTTACCTGACATTAATAACATCATCAACTCTTCCCGTGAGCCAGTAGTAACCATCCTTGTCCCTGTTTATAATAGGCTTGTATCTTAAGAACTTGAGAACATAGAATAATAACAAAAGGTTGCAGAATCACCTGATTTTTTCATTCCAAAAAGAACAACAATTATCTACTAGTGCTAGAATCTAACCACCAGAATCTCAATGAGGACGTTATACCAAAATAGAATCACCATCATTATGCCCAAAAACTACCTGGTGCAGCCATCACCAGTGAAATAATAGCCAGGGAAGGCACTGAAGTATGTCGTTTCGTATCTATCATGATCCCCATAAAGAGTCCGGAAGGCTCCAGGCCATGAGCTCTTTACACACAAATAGCCACTGCACTCACCTTCCAATTCTGCCCCCTTCTCATCCACTATGGCAGGCTACATTGTCATAACATTATTTTGTGAAATGGTCAAAAAGATTGAATCAGGCTAGGGAACTCTACCAACATATAGGTGCAAATATGCTCCTATAACGTTTTCCTTAAGGTGTAAATTGAAGCTTAAAATCTTAAATGGTGGAACGCTTACCATTTTTCTTGTAATGCCCTTACCATTCATCAATGGGTGCAATTTAGTAACTCTTTTATGTTCCTGGGTTTTTAAAGGAACTTATATGCACCTATCTTAACATTTTTCTTGTAATGTCCCTAACATTTGTCCATGAGTGCAAATTTGTAATGCTTATAAGTTCCTAGTTTTTAAAGGAATTAATATGCACCCATGGACAAATGGTAGGGGGATCTTTGCACCTAAAAATATTTCAGAGCTAGCTAATATGCACCTAAGAGCAAACAACATGGACATATTTGTGCCTTTTCCTACTTAAAGATTTCAGAGTATTGGTTGGCAATCCATTGTATGCTTGCCAAAGACTTCCACTTTCATTTTGAGAGACAAATATTTGTTGGAGAGTTTACATAGTTGCTGCTAAAGTCTTTTATTAAGACACATACCTGAACTCCAAAAAAAGGAAAAGTAGCAGAACCGGGTTTTTGGGGCCAAGCTCCTGGCAAAGGAGTAATCTGCAAGGAATTGATTGTGTCTCAAATGACAGTTATTTTTGTTTAGGAAAAAAAAGAACAAAAAGAGTAAGTAGCATACCATAAAGCCACCCGTTTCTGTTTGCCACCAGGTGTCAGATATGGGGCACCTTGCATCTCCAACTACATTGAAATACCACCTGAACAAAAAAACAATTGATTTTAAAAAATGAAGTTTAGAAACTAAGGATTATAAAATGTTAAAAAGGCTCCAAAGAGTAGAGAAAAAACCTCCATGCGCTTGGATTGATAGGTTCACCTACACTTCCAAGGACTCGCAATGATTTGCGTGAATACCGAGTGACATACTGCAAAGGTCAGAGAAACTACAAAGTTCAACAACTGTGTCTAATTAGTATGAATGCAAATTAACTTAGCCCCTAGTATGAAACCAAATAAAGAAATAATGTTGAGCAGGCTAGAAGCCCAGAAGCTAGAAACATCTGGATTCATCATCGAATATCTATAGAGAATATGGGCCATTACGGCTTGATACTTTACAGCATAGCATACAAAAAACTAAATTGTTATCACCCACTCAGCCAATTGCAAGAAGAAAAAAGCATTGGGGTATATTCATGCCTCATCTCCCTCGCGCATGAGAGACCGCACCAATGTGGGAGCCGTATAAAAAATAGACACTTTGTATTTGTCAACAATATCCCAGCAGCGTCCAGAATCTGGATAATTTGGAACCTGTAGCACAATTTTGTTGGTAAAAATGTGAAACCAAATTGCTAGGGTAATGAATTCATATAAACATAATAATAGATGAACGAATAGCTACCCCTTCATAGACCAGAACAGTAGCTCCATTTAATAAAGGTCCATATGTAACGTAGCTATGCCCAGCAACCCAGCCACAATCAGCAGTACACCTAACAAAGAAGTAAAATTAGTTTAAACTCTTCTTTCACAGAAATTCAACTACATGCAAAATCGATACAATCTTTCAAGGGAATTTGATCTAAATTACCAGTATACATCTTCCGACTTGTAGTCAAATGCATATTTAAATGTGGTCGCCGTGTATACCATATATCCTCCAGTAGTATGCAGCACACCCTTTACAAAAAGGAATGAAGAATTTACAAATCCTAAAGAAATCAAGAGAAGATATATAAGTTTTCTATGTATGGTACCTTGGGTTTTCCAGTACTCCCACTGGTGTAGAGTAGGAAGAGTGGATCCTCAGCATCAACCCATTGTACATCACATGTTATTGGATATTTGGGAACAACATCCTGAAAAAATATGAGCAATATAACCAATAAGGAATCAGGTCAAAACCAAAGGTTACAATGGCCACTCCATAAAGAAATTTAGCATTAGTAGTCACTACAAGCTCGGGGAAAAAAAGTGTATAGCTAGAAACAAGTGCACACAAAGTACTTTAAAACGAATATATACATTGATGCCAACATTTTAAGCACTACATCTACTAAAATGGTAGTTAGCAGTGTACAACAACAACAACAACCCAGTTAAATCCCACAAGAGTAGGGTCTGGGGAGGGTGTGTGTACGCAGACCTTACCCCTACTCGAAAGTAGAGAGGCTGTTTCCAAAGAGACCCCCGGCTCAACGTCGAAAGTTGCATTGCTTGACTAACTGCTACTTCATTAATTAAAGAAGCGCAGACAGTTTAGAGATCCATTTTGATTTATTCCATCACACCCCAAAGCCAAAAAAATGGTGAAAAATTGGCTCCATCGGAGAAAATGGTGAAAATCACACCCCATTGGAG